AATCAATCGATCAGTAGTCCTTGATTCGGGGCACTAGTATGGGTGATGTGGCTGAGTCTCAAGCACGCACGGGAATGGAAAAGCCTAACGGAAGAACATGAACAAAACACGTGAACTTCGGTATCTGAAGAAAAAATTGGACTGATTTAGAAACTACATTCTAGTTCTTGCATTTTGAATGATGTACAATTTCGATCTTCGTTTCCAGGGCACAACGGTTAAGCACGAAAGAGTAAACAGGCGAATCGGGGAGAAGGGACGCATGGAACGAAAGTGGGAGACCGGCAGGGTGTGTATGTGTGCGGTGGGACGAGGAGGCAAGCGGGAGAGTTTCAACCAGTGACCTGGAGCATCACGCAAGGATGACCGTTTGGCGAGGAAGTAGTTCCAAGTCCAGCTTAGGGCACTGAGTGCAAGGGGCCAGCAGTGAGTCGTGGGTTAGAACTGGGTTGGATGTGTAACCCTAAAGTAGGGTATACACAGGCCGACATAATCATCTTGAATGGCAAAACAAGATATCAAATCTAGCTCGAAACGGGAAAAGGAAAAGAGAATCAAGGTGACTAAATACATCATTCAAATAGGTGGTTAAACCAATGGATAGATGGGGCAGGAGCAATAATCTACAAAAATAACGTCCCGGAATAAGGGAGTGTGTGTGACAAGGTTGGGCTGATGACGAGGTTAGTGTAGTCAAGAAACGGAAGCTGTACACGCACAAAGAGGATCGAAAATGAGCGAATAGCTCTAGGGAAAAGAGGGACGGGGGTGGGGTGGGGGGATCAAGAGGCCTACAGACGCCACTGTGTGCGTTTTGGTGAGAAGAAATTTCCCGGGGATGGAAACACGACCGATGCGTCATTTCCACGGCCTATTAAAACAATATCAATAGGAACGAGGGTGGAAACAAGCGGTTCGGACAAGTGTGCAAGGGCGGGCGCATTTGTGTCAGTCCGTGTGCCCGAGTTCGGCCGACTCCGCAGAGATGCCCGGCGAGGATTGGGTTGTTTGTGCGGGGGAGAGAAAAAAAGCACAAACAAAACAATCGGCATGAAGAGAACAGAACAGAACAGAACAGAACAGACAGATAGCAATCAACCCGGTTGACAAATTTTTAATTGCAGCTCATGCCATTCCTTTCGAGGTCGAATATCGATATGCACATGCATGTACAGCCCAAGCGCCCCTTTCTCCCCCCCCCCCNGTAAGAAATCGATGAACTGTACAGTATACAGTGAGTGGGTTTGCACGGTCAGTAGGAAAAACACTAACCCGCATACAGACATACACACACATGAAAGTGCAGAATCGCTTTCTCGTGGCAAGAGGAGGTGAGGAACGCCAGGCGACCAGAAAGTCGGTCGAATCTAGTCCTGAATCGGACGGTAGAACACGGTCGAGACAAACTTCTGTCGGTAACGCGTGATCACGCTAAGCACAATGACGCCATCCTGGAAAAAAGAACCAAATAAAAATGATACGATATGATATGAGTCGACCAAGACGAGTCTATGTATATGTGAAGGCAGTAAAAGGGTTGAACGGTTACCATAAGTGGAGTCAATCCGTTTGGAGGAAGAAATAGATTGAAATATTGGGTAACTTATTTCAGTCTGTTACCAAAAGGAAACTACCTTCCAATTAGTTTTCCTTCATTGTTCACGTCGCAGACCTCGGTCTTCGAAGTGGAACTATCAGATCGCCTCTCAGTTCAATCGTCAGCTAGAGGACTCAGTGAACACTAGACGACAATGAAGGATACGATCTAAACATCGATCAAAACAACGCAAAATTCTCGAACGCAATCAAATAAAACACGATGAATCTCCCCGACCTCGGTTGCACTGCTGGACGCTCGCAAAGAAAATCCTTCGCATTCAAAATACGACAAAGCGCGCAAATCCCTCTAACGCCAACTTATCAAGAGTCTGAGGAATGACCACGAGAAGTGGTGGGTAGGGAAGTGTGAAGAGATTGAGAAAGCTGCGGCTATCGCTAATAGTTGCAATCTTTATCGGGGTACAGGACCAAGGAAAGCAGGCATAAATGAGGTAATTAAGGAGTCCGACGGCACTCTTATTCATATTCAGCAATACCGTCTAGATCGATGGGCAGAACATTTTAAGGCACAGTTTAGCTGGCCGCCGTCAGCACAAGACGTCCCTACACCCGATTCAATTGTGCAAAAACTGCCAGCTGACATCAGTCCTCCGTCTGAAATGGAGATCACCCGGGAAATAAGCTATCTCAAAAGGTATAAGGCCTCCGGCCCCGACGGGCTGTCCCCATCGGCTTTAAGGATGGAGGCTCAGCCTTGGTTTGCAGTTAACAAAACTCCTGGGCTCAATGTGGGAAAAGGAACAGGTTCCAACTGAATCGTATGAATCGGTGATCATTCCGATTTACAATAAAGGTGACAGATCCTCCTGTGAAAACTACAGAGGAATTAGTTTGAGCAACATTACCTCTAAACTTCTCGCTGGCATCATACTCCGTCGATTGTCTACCGCACGTGAACAGTGCACGCCTGAGAACCAGGCTGGTTTAAGATCTGGTCGAGGGTATGCAAACCCTAACCAGGAGACTAGGTCACACAGGCCCAGTTTGGCTCCCTGGATGGGGACCCCGAGATGATGGTCACCAATGGTTAGAGACACCGAGTGATATGGTTGGGTGTCGCAAACAGATGTGCTCGTGCATGCACTCATTCTCCTAACACCACTATATGAATTTTCCATCTTCCGCTTGAATTTGCTCTCAACATTCCAATGATCTTGCTCTTTTATCCAAAATGAGCTGCCAAAAGACCGCAACCGAAATCGGCACACGAAAGTACATGGTTAATGCTTTTAAAAACTGAAACGTACGGAAGGCCGTTCAACAGTAACACAACAAAAAGAGATTTTGGATGCCATCTACAACGAAAGAGCATTCCGTAAGAAGAATTATGCACTGATCGTGAAAATTGCGTAGGAGATCCCGTTGTTGAGTTGCTCTGGACATTAATTAACCATTTGCAAGTGGAGTACATCTTACTACGTATCGGATGTTGCACGTTAAGTTCACAAAGACAATTAGGCAAACCGGAAGTGATCAGTGAAAATTCAATAATTTAACTGTTGTTGACTCAAACAAAATGTCACGAGTGCACGCGTGATGCCTCCTGCTGCTGTTCGCAAATCATCCCAAGCGCTTAGCATGAACAGGAAATGGTCCGAATAAAAAAACACAAAGCTAACTGCGTTTCACACTCTGCTAACTCAATGGTCCATCACGAAAAACTGGGGAAAACACATTAAGACAAATTTTATCGTGCGGATAGATTACCGAATAAAGTCGAAACTCAGGTCGATGAGTTGTACCGTGGTTCAAATCGCCTACAATACACCACCGTCGTACATACCGATTCTTATGGATAACATACTACTGTGTGATGAATGACAGAAAGAAGAAACACCACAGTCACGAGGAATTAATGTTTGTCAAATATATCGCATGCGAATGGTCAGTTGTAATTTAGGGCTGACATAATTATCCTGCGATCTCATGCGTACATGCGTACCCTATCAACATTTAACCGCTGTTTTTGTTTACGGATAGGGTGCTAGGATATGAAGCCATTTGAAGTAAGATATCTATTTGGTGCAATTTCACGTGGTTCGCAATCGAACTCCGGATAGCATATATTGATTGTTTAATCCTAGGAGAATTGCTTAACTGCTAAAAAGACAGATAAACTAAACAGTAAAGAACTGGTGTGATAATTCCACAAGACTGTGCCTGGTCGAGGGTAGTTGTTTATTGTAGATTACAGTTGGGATATCAATAATTTGGTATACATATAACAAGATATCTCATTTGAAACATGCCATCGCAATTCCCGACAGAGTACCGGAAAATGAGTGGAGCAGTCGGTGGTTATTCTATGATGCACAGTAATTCGCCCTCAGTAGTCTTGTTAATTTTTGATCGTTGAAGGTAACCACCAACCGCACTATTTTGCATACCACTCACAAATGTGAGTAGTACCTCACAACACTAGTAAGTGCCAGAAGCATTCGATTGAATCGCGAAGCGTGGAGGTAATTTATACACTAAGATATAAAAACATAACAAATAGATAAGTATTTTTTAATTACACATCACTATTCAGTGACTTTGAGCTTAGATAAACCACAGTTGCGTAACCAAATTGATTCTAACATGTCCCATGTTATCAGTTCGCCATCAATATTGGCCAAACGGACCAATGTCTATAGCCTGGTCCAACACATCCATACGGTTGAGAAGCATGGCGATGGCATGCAGTCGGTCAAGTTGGATGAGAGCACAACCGAAGGGTATACGTGCGGGATGATTAGCCATTAGGAAAAAAGGATAAAGACAGACTGTCGGTATTCGAACACAGCTGTCTACGCAGTATTGCATGAATCTGGTGGGGCACTCGGACGAGCGATGTTGAGGTTAGGCGCAGAGTTTTGGGTAACCGCGGTCGCCCGCTAGAGCAAATGATGGCTGAGTGTCGTTCGTGCATCGTCTCAATTTCTTTGCAGCCATAGTCTACTGGAGTTCCCCATTTGCCCTTCGACTCTACCTTCAACCTCCCTGTCTTTCTCCTACTGTTCGTCCAAATGGGCTGTCAAAAGACACCAACCAAAACCGGCGCACGGAAGTGCATCGTAAAGGCTTGTACAAAATGGAAATGAAAACTAATGTTCCGAAATCCGAACTCGGTGGCAGTTCATGAGGTCATTTCACACAGAGTTGTCCAATGCAAACTGGAACAACTGACTTGCATTAGGGAGCTCTACCCGTGACAACTCCCTCCTCCTTCTGCCTCATCTACAAACACGAAGAAAATACCTGATGATTCCACTGTTGTGTTGGTTTCGCATAACATGCAAATCAACATATTTTACATTAGCAACACAGTGAGTTAAATTCAAGACGCGCATCCCCACTTGTTTCTGTGTGAAGCCAAATAGAATCTTGTGCTGTAACTAACATGAGAGACAAGTACAGTGAATGAGGCGTGAAAATCGAGTAAAGAACAAAAACGAACAAACAGGAAGATAGAGCAAGCGCCAGGCGTTCAAGGTCAAACTTACCTTGATGGAAAGAGCGTATAAATGATTAACGATTACATGATTCGGTTGCGGCAACAAGTTCGGATCGCAGTGCACTCCGGTATCCATGTTCATGATACCCTGATTTCGAAAGTAGGCGGGAAAGAAAATCGGAGATGGTAATACATGCAGCAAACTACGAGTTCACTGTAACTAAAAAACAAAGTGAACGAACCGATCTATCTGAAGGAAATGTGAACCGTGACCAAGAACAATAACCAACAAAGGAGAACAACAATATAAACACAGGTTAAGAATAGAATTATTCATTGAGAAGATAAATGAGGTGCACAAATTTGGTTTCTTATTGATTCTCAAACAGTTATATTCACACAAAATGACAAGGTGGCAACAAAAGTTAGAATTAAAGCCCCGAAAACTAGCTAAAAACGACGCTATCAATACACTATTCAAAAAAGATTATCGAAAGCACCACAATCCACATTTCATGCCACAAGATCCGGTCATTGATCTGAGGATAGCAGCTTTTCCGACCCTCTGAACCATGTTTATCTGTTAGTCCATGTATTCCTCTGGAGCCGACTGCATTGATCATCATAACTACCAGCAGTTGATGAAACGGATATTAAGGAGCGACACCCAGCCTGGCTGAGTAAAGGACTGATAAAAGTCATCTGTAGTTCAACGAAAGATGCACTTGATCAACACAGTGAATGTTGAATGTTCATCGATCATCACTTAGGTTATCAAACGTAAATTATGCTATCTATGCTCCGCCGATGCGGTAAACATTCATATCCAACATCCCAAATTGTCACAAGCAACAGGGTGCAATCAATTAATCAATCGGTCAGGTCAGGTCAGAATGTGAAAGCAAAAGTGAAATAATCGGATTTGGTGCTCAGTTTACTGATCTGATTGCAGTTTTACACCTTCCTATTAGCAGTCCTGACTTCGGAAACAAGACCAAGGTTTTGCAAATCTACAGCATCCGTTATTGACCAGGCAGGTAGTAGAACAGTTCCTTAAGAATGAACAGATCTGCAAGACACAAGTGGGAGTGTTCAATGAACTCTGTTTACATTTTTTTTATCTAAATAAATGTACCATGTGTGATCATTGACACAAAAAAACATGATGACAGACTTCAATGACGGACTTCAGACATGCCTTTTATTGTCCGAGGCGAACTGAAAAAATATTGAATAATGCGATTCGGATCACATGCCTTCCAACCAAACTGTTCGGCACGGATGGGGAAAGAGATGCGATAGTTAACCCATGCCACGGTGCATTAGAAAGGAAAATGTACACGTCGTTGATGATGATAATTTCTTTTTACTACATTGCACAAACAAAGGCCAAAAATGGACAAACAAATACTTATCCCTGTTATCCCACTACTCTTTTGATGTTCGTAGCCCATCACGGGCAAGTGTAGTATATATGTATATCATAACAAGTAGTATGTTAATGACTGGACAAAATTCCCCTGGAGGGACACAATCGGTTTCGCGGTTCTTGCCACTCGTATGTGGTAATCTTTTGGCAGTTCATTCATGTACTTGTATCCAGGATGTGTATTTTCGTCCCAATAACCTTGTTTGCAGCACTGGGTGACTTTTGGATAGACAGCTCTTTCAGGGTCAGTCCATTGGAGAATCTATGCTACGACCCCATATTTTTGGAAGTGGGTTAGATGCCATTTATATATA